GAGGACAATGTAACGGTCATCTCTTGGTGTTGTTTTCCTTGGACGGCCACCACCAACCTTCCGAACAGCTGTACCAGTAGTTTTAAAGGCATTCCAAGCACGGGAAACAACACTTTTGTTGATCCCGAACTCTTCGGCGACACTGGTCACACTACGTCCCTCCCCAAGCTTCCCAAACATTCTTCCTCGAGTAAAGTCGTCTAAATGATTTCTTGAAGACATGTTTCATAAAACAAATCACTTGCACTTGCAGCGAATGCCTTTAACTACGGTGTTCTTCATCCTTTTATCACAGCTTTGACCTGCGCGCCGACCCACAAGGTTTACGTACACTTACATCACCTACGACGCTTTATTTCTAAAATTTGCATACAAATAATCTTTCTACTGAATTACGTGCATATTATACTGTAATTTCATGGCTATCTAATAATTTGCTGGGGAGCTGTGGCCGAAAAACCACTTGTTGCTTAAGTTTTGCACACCATTGTATAAGACTATGGACATTTTATTTTAACTTAATTATCAGAAGAAATAATTGTGTAATTTCGTTAAATCCTTGAGCTCCCCTAGTTGTTTTGAGCAATGTATTTCAACAATTGAGTGACCTGATTGTAATAAAAAGTTTCTAATTTTTTTACATGGTCAGTTTCTGAAGGGTTTAAAATAGCATTTAATAATACTACTATCATAATCTTTGAATAAAGAATCTCAAGGTTACACCCTATTCTATGTCAGTTAATATAGTTACACTAAATAGTAGTACAGTACAGAACCCGTTATCCGGAAATCAGAAAACCGGAAAATCAAAAAACCGGAACGAAATTCGATAAATTTTCCCACCATTTTTTATAGGATTAAGATTATAGGATTTTTCTTTCTTTTTTGAAAGATGTTTACCATACCATCATTTTAGAAATAATCATTACTGTATTACTTCATCGTTTTTTCTTCTTTTTAAGATTATTTCCTAATATTTTTTTTAGTTGGGTTTAACAATAAAAAAACGGCTTTTTGTACCGATTCAGAAAACCGGAAAAATCAGTTATCCGGAATAGCGATGGTCCCGATCATTCCGGATAATCGGTTCCCTATGTATATCTTTGTTACATTAAATGCAGTTGCACTAAATAGCAGTAAGTTTTAGCAGGATGTTTGAGTAGCACGATTTGTCGAAATTATGGTAACTATTCTATTTACAAAGACAAATAGGATAGGGTCAAAGGTTTAAAAATGTTATTGAATTGAATTTAGAATTAAAAGTGTCCATAAGTAAAGTATTGATTGATTATTACCTTCTCCATCTATTTCGCACCGGTTTCCAATGTAATTACCTTGGCACCTACATAGAGAAATGCATATTAATAAAAATCATAGTATGTTATTTAAGAAATGCTCTTATAAACAAAACATTCTCTTATTTAAAGTCTTGGCAAAATACTTACAAAACCTGTTATATCATTCATTAACACATTGCTTAGTGTATCACTAAGCGATTCGTGTTTACATTTTATCTTGAATAACAAACGATTTAAAGATAATTTTAAATGGAAAATAAATAGAAGAGTTATTACGAGTCTACATTTATTGTAAAAACACTGAATAATATTTTAAATTGAAAAAATTTATGCAATGAAAGATAGCACTTACTTGCACAATTTTTGTTCTCGCTCGACATAACACTGGCCATGATAATTACAGTATTCAGATGAACATGCTAAAAAAGGTTAAAATTTCTTTTATATAATCTCTTATATTTTTACAAACTTAAAAAGTTGTTTCTTAATTTAATTTGGTTTGCTTGTTACAAGAAAAATTTTGCTTAATAAGAAAAGATATTGAAATATTCAACTTTTTTTGTTCAACGAGAGTTGAACATATAAAAGGTTGACAAATTTTTCTATTGAATTTTGTAATTGATTTGAGCCCTTCTTCGCTTAGTGTAAATTTGATGAATTCTATTTTCTAATAAGTCCAACTTAAAAAAGAATTTATTTCTTTTTTTTGCAAATAAAACTCACTAAGTAATTTAGTCTTGCGAAAATTGTTAGCAAAGGAATTCGTTATAGACTCATAATTTTGGAAATGTGTTTCAATTTAGTTTCGGAGTAAAAGCATATTAAAGATTTTTCGATCGAAGGGAAAAATTATAATTCTCTGCGTACTCAAGTATATAAAGGCAATTAAATATATAAAACTTTTGACCATTTTAAAATTTCGGAGTTATTAAAAGTGTTTTTTTACACAATCCCGAATGGTTCATAAAAATTACATCTTTTGCTTCAAAATAATCAAAGTTATTGCGTCATAAAAGAGGAGAATCTTTCTGTGTGCTTTTTGTATACCTCTTTAATTATAAAATATTTTACAATATATCTCTTAGTTTACTCTTGGTATTTGTTTTTTTTTTTTGAATTTTTAAAAAGTCGTATTTTTAAATTTTATTTCTCAAGAACTATTCAACCGATTTTGTTCAAATTTTTAATTTTGCCTTTCAGAATTGCAATCTTTAAAAAGATGCAAGAAATTATATACCTTACTATTCAAAAATTTTCAGACTGTTGTCAAATAAAATAAAAAAAAATATTAATAGTTATTAAAAGTTATATTTGCATGGAATTATATTTATGTAAATGAGTTTGAGAATTGAGAGCAAAAATTTTTCAATTCTCTTGAAAATTTCTCAGATATCGCGAAATACGCAAAAAGTAAAATTAACATTAAGGGGTCCAAAATTTGAACCTCTCTCCTTTCCAAACTATTGAACCATATTTTCCAGATTGCGGCTACTTCCTACATCTTGGAAGTCAGAAATTCGAGTCCGTCGAAAAAAAGGTATGTCTATTCAGAAAAAGCACATTTTTGTGTCTAATTTCGTAACTTAAAATATCGTCTGCTGTAATTAGTTAGCATATTTGAGGCATAATTGCCCCTCGAAACTTTAAGAATGAGTCCTAAAACGTGAAAATCCTATCATTAGATCAAAAGCTATTCACTGTGGTCCGTTTTTCATTTTGTGCATTGTACTACATACACTGATTCTCTAAAGCAGGGCTGTCCAACTGCAAGGAGCCCACGGGCCAGAATTCCGGTCACTGATCACCTGGCGGGCCGCAGTTTGAAAAAATTGAACAATAACCTCTTATGTCTTATACAACAACAATTAATAGTTGAATTATGAATTATGAATTATAAAACAATGGAACAGAAGGATTATAAAACAATTTGCTTACATTTTAATGGGAAAACTTTGAATAAGAAGTTGGCGGGCCGCACAATATGTGTTGGAGGGCCGCCAGTTGGACAGCCCTTCTCTAAAGCATCGCCTCAGTGGGAGTGGAATAGATTAAAGGTGTTGTATCAAATAATTCTACATATTCATTTTATTGAGTTATAGCACGATGCATAACATTGAGTTATTCTAATAAAAATCTAAAAATTCACCTCTTAAAAATATTTAAGTGCCAGTAAATTGGCTCAAGCAAAAATATTTTACTTCGCCCATAAAAGATTTGAACTACATATTATAGTTTTCTCTTAACACGAATCTGATTATGGTGTTTCATAGCACTTCCAAGGATGACGTCATAAGTTATCGAGGGCCTCTTGGTGGCTATGAATAAATACTATCAACAGGGGGGATTGGACTCAGATCGCGAGGCGATCCGAAATAAACTACATAGCAAGCAGATCCAAGAACTACAGCACCACCGATCCGAAAAAAACTACATAGCAACTACTGAGAGTTGGTGCGTGATGCGAAGTAGGATGTAAAGCCTCCTAATTTGTAAAATCATTTTAAATTAATTAATTCAAATTAAATAATTCAAATAATATTAAAATTAATTAATTCAAAAAATTAATTAGATCAAATTACATTATTTTGAGAAATTATATTAAAAGTTATAAAATAAAATATATTACATATTGTTAGCGATATTTTCATTATTCAGTTATATTTTGATTAGCGTATATAAATTTCAAAATTAATTTTAATGTTGCAAACTTAAATTGTTTCGCAAAGTGTGATCTGAAAAGAAGCATTAAAATGAATACTTACCTAAACATCTTCTTCCACTAAGTCGTTCATCATGAATAAATGGATCAACATATCCTGGTTTGCATTTGCATAGAAATGTTCCGAAAATATTATAACAAGTACCATCATCTGAGCAGTCGTTTAAATTGAAATCAGAGCACTCATTAACATCTAACAAATAGAATAGTAAAATTTGTGACAAAATTCAACTAGTATCAACTAATATTCCCTTAATATTTATTATAAATTGTTACATTCAGGTCGGAAATTTTGTTCCAAATTATTTGCTACATTTCAAATCATAATAACTCCTGAAGTCATAAATAACTTCCAATGCAGCTTAGTAGATGTACGCCAGAAAAATATAACTATTACAAAATGTGGTATACTGGGTGTTATAACTCCAATGTGAAGTATTGTGTGGCTTTGAGGAGAGCTGCTCCAGACTAAAAGTCTGGGGCTGTATGCTGTAATGGTAATAAGCGAGAGCACATTTCTATTGGGGGTGCAATGGAGAAATGAAGGGGTTGATTGGTTTACTCACGCCCACCTATGCCAGGATGGTGACAAAACTATTAATCTCACACCCCTATTCGAAGTGACTTTTCCTCGTAACCATGGTACCCGCCACGATGCGAGACTGGTGTCAGGAGGAGTTCCCCTGAAAGTCGCACTATAATGAGCTTAGCCTTATAAATGCATTTACGAAAACTGCTAATAAATGCATAACCAAGTAAATGGATAACCTAATAAATGCATGCACTAATGCCATACTGTAACTGTAATTGTGAATAATATAGGAAATACCCTATAAGAGGAAATGAAGACGCTGTATTACAATTTTTACTGCAACTTTTGAAAAACGATAAACTGAGCCAAGGTGCAATGAAAGCTGCAGCAATGTTCACCGTAGTAAAATATCCCGTTTTTGGACATCAAAGATAAATGAATTTACAATGTAAGTTCTCAAGTTATTGGTAAATGTGGAAGAAATTTTTCTTTCTTTCTTCTAAGCAATTAAGCAAAATCAATTCAATACAGGCCAGCACCGTCATGTGGCAAGTTTTTGACACATGACGGTTTTTACCGGTTTATACCATGGTTTTTACCGTCATGTCAAAAACCCCTCAGTCAAAAACGTCTAAAACTGTCAAAAACTCATAGTTTTGGTAAAATAATTTTGAATCTTCTCGAATTTTGGACTCATCAATACTAAACTTAGAAATCGACTGGGCAATGAAAAATGCGCAAAATTAGTCACTTGCTATCGGATGCTTCGGCACACTGACCCCAACTACTGAACATGTAATTTTGTTTGTAATTAAATTTTGATTAATGTGCTTTTTCAACTGAATAAAAGTTTTTAACTTGACAAAATAACAGTAATTCTTGACTTAGAGTTTGTTAGTAGTTACAAGTTTTGTTTAGCTTATTTCTAATGTTTAAGAAATGCCAAATTTTAAATTCTTCTTTTTAGTTCTTGAATTCATGAATAGTTCCAAGCTTTTTTGTTTGTTTATTTCTAACAATTAAGAAGTGCAAAATTTTGAGTCCTTTGCAAATCAAGCTATAATGATAAAAATAAGTACACATTATTTTCAATAAGTATATTACAATATTTCTGTATGAATGTATATCCTTCTATAAGAATACGTGTATATAGTTGCAAAGCAAAATCATTTACAACTTTCATTTATAAAGGCAATTATGTGAAAATAATATATTGTCATCTATATGCCATAAATTAAAGAAAACAGTAGGTTTTGGACGGTAAAAACCCAACCCTGATGTATATATATATATATATATATATATTTAAAAAAGAGGTTAGGTTTTAATAATATTTTATATACTTGGATATTTATTGTCCTTTTTAAGTTTCATTAATGATTTTAGCATACTTATAATTAAGGTACGTATCTGATTACTGCTAAAACATGATTCTGGACATTTTCGAAACTGTGTTTATTCTAAATTTAAAACTTGCTTTCTAAAAATACTTTACTTNTATATATATGATCGTGGCGGTGAAGCGCCGTCGGCGATGTGATCTGCCGGTGAAGTGTATGACGGCCCTCTATTCGCTAGCTGAAATGTAAAAATCCTGAACTTTACGGGGTGAAACTTATTTAAACAAAAGTTGTGGCTAAATCAGAGAACTTGCTTTGGTACACATAGGAGAACGAGAATTTCCGTTTTCTGGAGAATTTACACTAGCTTTTTGTGATATTCCATAAATAACTCCTGTTTTTACGAGAAAATTTCTTGAAATCTGTAGTAAGTTTTATGTGCTTCTATTTTTGACTCATTGTTTATTATTTTGTATTCATTGTTTTGACTTATTGTTGTTACTTATTGTGGAGATATGCAAAACTGCCATCTCAATATTTAAAGAGGTTGGACAATTTATGTGTTTTGTTCAAGTAGCGGAAAAACTATCATAAAATTAACTTTAAATATATTCCTATAAATCGAAGCAAATTGGCAAGTATGGATCTATGATATTTGAACTATTTCGATTTGTTTTTGTTAGAAATAACGTATTTGTTGTTACCTGCAATATAACTAATTTGCAAGTTATGCATTTAGTACTCACTAGTGTAGAGGTAGCAGATTCAAATCCCAGCGTAACATTAGGTGTATTTATGTGAAGTCCTTCGCTAAATTATGCCATTTATTCTTCAATTGAGTTTCTAAGCTATAGTTTATACACATAAGAACAGGCTTTTACGTACTGGCTTGCATATGAATGAGTTACAATAAAATAAATAAAACTGTGAAGAAAAAAATAAATTGCAGCTACAGTGGTAATTTTGTTACCACTTCTTTAAATTTTGTCTATAAAAGACAAACTGAGCTTATAAAGAAAAACATTGACTCCTATTATTCAATGATTTTTGAGCTAGCTTATTTTTAAGTAAAAATTTTTCTGGCGAATTTTATAATGAGGAATTAATTTTTAAAAAAAGAGAACATTAAAAGTGTTTGAGACGGTAGATGCATTATCGATCAGTAGCGAAACTAATTATTGAATAGTATTTTCTGAATACATTTTATTTGCTTAAAATAATTGTTCATTATTATTTATAATAAAAAATAATAAAAAAAGAATAATAAAAAATGATATATAAAATATAATATATAAAATATAATATTTTTTTTTATTATTCATAAATTTTTTTTATTATGAATAATAAAAAAAAGAAGCTTAGAATTATAGCAAGAGTTCAGAATTTAAGGGATTGTAGGAAGAGCTTAGTGGACTTATTAATCAGGGAAAATAACCAAGAGGTGCATCATTATGTTTGAGCTATTATGGATTAGTTTTGACTTCAAATTAGGTAATTAACCTAATAAATAAAATATCCCTTTTTCTTAACCTGAATGTCTTCATCCACTTAGCTCTTCATAAATGATTAAATTTGGAAGATTTATTCATAAGAAATAATACCTTCTATGGCAGTAATGGGACTCATTGGACCTTCAACAAAGAGTCTGCTGTCACCAATATTTTGATTTTTTCTTTTTATTGCTTCGCCAATTTCTTGTCTTAATCGGATTCTAACAGACTGGGCTCTAGTAGATTCTTTTTCTTCCAAGAAAATTGTACTGTTAGCAATAAGCTTTCCACCGATTGGATAAAACATGTTCACTGTCATTCCGTAAAATTGTCGAGAAAAGGCAGTTTTTCCAAAGAGAGTGGTAAGCTGAAGTAAAAATAACAAGAAATCATTTCAACAAACGATATTAAAATGATTTGGGCAATATAATAATAAGCCATAATTGCCTAGGAATAAAAAAAAACAAGATTTTTGGCTGCAATGAGATGTTTTTGAGCTGTTTTCTAGGTTTTTTCTGAGCGATATAAACTGGTAGATTACTGGAAACATTGATGCGCATTGTAAATGTAACAATTGCTGCGCTCTTATGAAACTCAAAAGTCTCGTTTTATAATATTTAATTATCTTACACTAAAATGTACACAGTAAGCTTATATCGACAATAGTGAGAGTATCTCAATTAATATTTTTGACCTTCCAATTTTTTATATTGCGAAATGGAGCCGCAAAAAGGAAGAGTCTTATCTAAATATGTGCTCCTCTTAGTTTGGAAGGTTTTGAATTGAAGATAAAATACGCTATATAACGATTTTAAAAATATACCTCCCTAAATTATTAAAAATTATAAACAAATTATAAACCTCCCTAAATTATTAAAAATTATAAACAAAATTCCTCTCATTATTAAAAATTATCCCTAAAAATGCTATTTTTCAGTTATAAAACCTTTAAAAAAAGTTTTCCGTAAAATGGCACGTCTTATGTAAGGAGTTCCCTCCAGTACGGATTGCTTTTCACCTCCGATTTTTTTAAAGAAAACTTTTTTGTAATTATAAAATCTGCAAAGAAAATGAAGAAAAGTTCTTGTAAGAAAAAGGAGAGCAAGTAAAAGTTTTTTTAAAAAAAAATTACCTTCATTTATTAAAAAATGTATGTATAACTCACACGTTACAAAAAGGCTAATGATGAGTGCAATAAGTACTTTTACCTATTTGGAAGGCAGGGATAGCCTGGTCGGTAGGGTGCTGGGCCCATGTTCGAGAGTTCGAACCCCGCCGGCCGAAGACTCCCCGTGTAGTAAAGTGACTGATGCATGTTAAATCTGTCGAGTCTTAAAAGTTATCCATGTTCCCATAACAAATCAATACCTCTGGGGGTATTGGATTGTAGATCGATCGTTCTCTGATTCAGGTCAAAATTACGATCTGTGGATGAATGAATGGGTGTATGAATGGGTCCGCCCTATAAACGGGTGTGACGTTTGGTGTGGCAGAAGTCGAATTCTTGGCCATAGATGGCACCACTGGAAAATAAGAACAATCGCACCCCCTCTGCCTAAACAGGTATACGTCAACAACAACAACAACCTATTGGGATCATAATGGTTTCAAAACACGTAAAATTTTCAAAATTTTTTGTCAATCTCGTGTAAATATATAAATAGTTGCATATGTTTTCTTTCTGCGTTAATGTTAATATTATTTTGACCCCTGCAATTATTTTTTTATTCTAATCTAGTTTAATCACAATTATGATTAATTTTCTATTTAATTCCTTATATATTCAACCTACTGGTTTCCCACTCATAACTTTACTATTTGGTGCTTGGTACCCCCTCTCCTCCCAATTCTAATCCCACTTCACACTCTCCCCCGTTATGTGTCTCAAAAATCCTACGAATCAGTGAATGCCCCTTAGCGGCAGCGAACTCAGAATTTGAGAACATGTTCCAATGAAAGTTCTCTAAACAAGATGAAGATCTTCACCTTACTGATCAATGAGGCATAATATTCAGTTTTTTACCCGTCTATTATTTGGTAACATCACGAACTTTCGGAAATTTTTCATCCATAACCTAGTGCCATGGAACGACAGAACGCCACGGGCGACTAAGAAAGTCAGAAGTAGTTTACAGAAATTCTTTTTTGATTTATTTAATCTATTTAATTAATCAGTAGTAACTACTACCATGACTTGCAAATCATTTATATTTAAAACAAAAACATTCTTTACATTCAATAGTAAAATGAAAAAAACTAGGCTGGAAAGAGTTGTTAATTTAATAGATCTCTAACCACGATTTACAATATTAGTCGCCCGTGCAGTACTGTTTGTAAGATTACATTATCATCGGTTGGTTGAGACTTTCATTTAGCAAAGGAAGGAAATCATTGATATTTAAATTTCGTTAAATGAATTTACATTTATTCTAGTATTTCCGGATACATTCAAGATGGTCGCCCCAATCAGGTTTAGAGAACGTACGGTATTTTAGAATTTTGTGAGAGCTTTTCTGACAAAACTATACTAATACAATTTTGTGATTAGCATTTTTAAAAGAGTAGCTTAGTGTTATACCTTTGTTAGCCTTCAAATTTTTGAGAAATAAATCTTTCTGTTGTTGTTGCATAATTTACGTAAAGAAAATTTTTTAGCTTCATCAAAAGCAATTTTCGTTTAATTAAACAAAAATAAAAGTAAATTTTTAAAATTCTAAACGTAAGAAAATGTTGAATTTCAAATTGCCGAGAATATAATCTTACTGTTAAATTTTTTCAGAAAAAATCCGTAACAGTTTTAAAAATTTTCAAGTAGAATTTTTCTTAATCTAATAAAGCAAAACTTTTATTTCTCAACTTTTGTGAAAGTATGCTGTAAAATAATACTCTATTATCAAAAGTTTATTAAGATAAAAATTTTTCCGAAATTAGGAATCTAAAATTTGAGATAAAATGTCGAACACTTTTGAGATTTTAAACAATATTCTCAGAATACTGTAAACCGCTCGTAATTTAGATTATTTACGGAATTCATATTTTAAATAGAGCCAGGACAACTATTTTTTAAACGCTTTCACTGCTTAACTTGAGTATTGTTTAAATACTAATTAAGCATTTAATTTGATCCCTTATTTTGAATAATAGTTGTATTTTATAATTTACTTTTTTATATAGAAATAGGTTCTGTTCCTTTTCCCTCCCTTCTAGAAAATTTCAAGGTCATTTTTTTAAGGTGAAAGAAAAGTTGGGGATTTATCTAAGGAAAGCTATAACACACCAAAGTTTGCTGTATTATTAGAATATCGCTGCAATGTTGTGAACATGCTTTCGTTTCCATGGATACAGAGTACACAGGGGGTACAGTCCTTTGTACACAGGGCTCGTACAACCCTTAAAAAGTGGTAATAAAATTAAGAGAATAATACGTTTTCGGATAAGTTTGCACTCACCAATATTCTTAATAGTTACAAATAAATTTTGAAATGTGAAGTATAAAGTTAATAAAACTAAATTTGTAACGTTTTTATTAGAAAATTACCAGCAATTTTTTAATATTCTAAGGACAGTACGAATAGAAGACCTGATAATGTTGCGCTGGCAAAAACATTTGTATATTTATCTCAATCTTAAATTTTTAAATTTTTTAAAAAAATTTTTGTATTATTTTTTTTAGTGGTAGCAAAATTGAGAAAAAATATAAATGTTTTAAATTATTCGTACTACCAAAACAGAATTTAAGTTTTAAATTATTCATATATCAAAACAGAATTTAAGTTTTAAATTATTCATATATCAAAACAATTTTCAATTTAAAGGAAATTTATGTTGGTGTTAAAATCTTTGCAAACATTTATTTGATTGTAGTGTATCTACCATTACAAAAATGCAATTCCAATTCACTAGTATATAAGACATGTTAATTCGATTCTAACGTAAGGGTTTATTTTCATAGATGAAGTTTGACATTGTCGAAAACTATTCTTCTCCCATTAGTGATTTGGACATACCTTTTCATAGATGAAGGTTGACATGTCTTATATACTAGTGAATTGGAATTGTATTTTTGTAGTGGTAGATGCACTACATGATGCTCAAATGGAAGTTGAAAGTTATTTAGTAAGCTTGAGAAAATTCAGCAACTACTTTTCGTTCTTTTCCAGATCGGGGCAGTCCTGTCAATAATTTTCAATACTACTTTAAATATTGTGGGTTGGCCGCTATGTTATTGAATTAAATTTTGTATAAATTAAGTGAATATTTTCTTCCACTGATATGCTTGCCATTTATGCTTTTAGTGGTTGGCAATGCTGTTATATTTTTAAGAGCTTTTTAGTTTTTAAGTGTTTTCATATTTCTTAATAATTATCACTTTTGATAATTGGGATATTTTTTAAAAATGTTTCATACTTTCTTAACAATTATTGAATGAAAAAATATCAGCTATAATGTAAATGCCAGGCCTGCCAACTTTCTACGCTTTTTGGAATTTTTTTTTCTAGTGGTAGCTAAGTTTATGTTCAATGTATTATTTTTTCTTTTATACATTTGATTTAAAGTTATTTTTCACACCACTTCTCGATTCGAAAGATTATAAAATAAGCCACTTTCAGCCTGCCAACTACTAAGCATTTAGCTAAATATTTTATCGAGCGGTAGACATTGTAAAACCAAAGCTTTCAGAACTTTTGGTAATTTTGCTAACATTTTAAAAACCTCACCACGAAAGAGCTAGAATAAAATAGCATTTCATATGAACTTTTGAATCATTTATAAGTAGTGGTGTGGAAAATTAGTTCAAGTGAACTAAAAATAATGCATTAAAACATAAACTAAGGTACCACTAGAATAAATTTTTACAAAAAGCGTAGAAAGTTGGCAGCCGACGCATTGTTCCAGCCCTTTCATGGTGAGACTTTTAAAATGTTTGTAAAATTACCAAAAAATTATGCAAGCTTAAATTTTTAACTGCTTATACACTCCATAAAATATTTTGTAAAACGCGTAGTAGTTGGCGACCCTAAAAAACTATTTTATAAAAATTTTTGAAATTTAGAAATTTTATTACTAATTTTTCTCATTTTTTCACTATGAAAGGTTCCAGGACATTTAGTATTTTCAGTATTGTTTTTCCAAATTGCTTAAGTTTATTATGAAATGATGTAAATTGAACATATTAAAATTGGATGAACTTACCGCTTGTTTCACTTCAAACTCCATAATTCTGTAGTCTTCAGAATTTTTATCTTGGTATTTCGGGGAAAAAGAAATTTTTCGAGTGCCAAATCCATCAATTTTCAATGAAATTCGAACTGCTACTATGGCTAAAATAGAGAAAAATTGAAATAAAATTTAATTAAATTAATAGTTTGTAAACAAAGCTGCTAATAAATAGAATTAATTATTAATGAAGAAATTAATATTATTAATTATTATATGATCATTATAATTATTATTAATTATTATAGAATTACTATAATTATTATTAATTATTATAGAATCATTATAATTATTATTAATTATTATAATTATTAAAATTATTCTATAAATTAATAGAATTAATTATTAAAGAAAATATTTTTAGGATAGCAATTTTTTTTAGTATGTTTTGAAGCATAAATTTAGAAGATAAAAAAACGCTTGATACCATGACAAATCAATAATTCAAACGTGTTACAAGATCTATTAGTAAGGCAGCTGCGTACCCTCCAACGACTACGACGTAGTTCTGTTTCAAGTTCAAATATAGTCATAACTATAAATATTAATAATTTTTCTCATGGAACAAATTGCTTGATAAACAAGAAACTAAGGAAAGCAAATTATCTTTTTATTTTAAACATAGCTTAAAATGCTTGTTTAGGGAAATAGCTTGAAATACGCAGATGAGATAAAGAAAATAAACACCTCGAGTTCGAAAAAAATAATTAATAAGAAAATCATAACTTTGATAAAAATTTCGTTAGCTAATTACAAGGTTGTTTGAATCGGGATATGAAATAAAAGTTTATATCTAGCTTGTTTTCGAAAGGAGACTAAGACTTTAAAAGTTTTACCAGGGCATTTTCTTATCTGGGAAAAATCAAATAGTGGGGAACACTTAATATTTTCTTTTATAACCGTCGTTGAACAGCCGAGATCCAATCTTTTTGGGTTTACGACTACTAATGTTGAACTCCGTAGCCTTTCAATTTTGAATTCAATTCAGACAAGGAAACTCGTGGATTAAGTATTGGGAGAAATTTGCCTTCGTGGAGGACTTTTTGAGGGAACTATCCAACATTTGCTTTGCACGGAGAGGAAAACCACGGAAACCACCCACGGTTAGCCTGACGGTAAGGGAGCTCTAACCCATGGTCCGTCTACAACAGAGGATATTTTACGTCAGCACTGTGGTCGGTGTAAGCCGGATGTGGAATTCGTATCGACTGGGATTCGAACCCGGTTCGCCTCATTGTAAGGCGAACGCTCTGTCCCCTGAGCCATTAATAAATTAAGAATAAAAAAAAAAGCGTTACCTTTTAAGAAATCATCATTGATTTTACGTATAAATTAATAACTGTTAGTTTCGGAAATCGCGGATATTTTATTTTTTACCAGATTTTTCAGCTTTTTCCGAAATACAAACAGGCTTGCCATCATCATTAAAATTTATCTGGGCGCCATTTACAGCCCTTTTTCTATCAATCTTGAAGATTTTTTTAAAAATCTGAGTGTAAAGAAAAACTAAATATTTCGTATTTTAGATGTGTTGCTACAAAAATTAGCAGCTTTTCCTTTAAGTTTTCAAATGTAGAAATGTAATTGAATCACAATTTAAGGCAAAATTTTATAATTAAATTTTGCAATATGATGACCCACATAATCACTGTTGAGATTCTAATTTCGGATCTTATTTTTTGAGTTTCTCTAAGATAAATGCAGCACTAAATTATTTTATTTCATATTTAATAACCGACGTTGAACTGCCTACCCAATTTTATGGGTTTACGACTACTAAAGTTCTACTCCGTCGCCTTGAAATTTTGAACCAATACTGATGGCAAGGAAACTCCTGGATCAGTACCTCCAGAGGTATGATTTGTTATGGGAACATGGAGGACTTTGAGATTCGACAGACTTAACGTGAGTCTTCGGCTGGCGGGGATCGAACCCATGCCCTATTGGACATGGCGACAAATTATTAGGCGCCAATGTTCTAAGGTCAAAACGCGTCCTTCTTTTAAAAAGATAAAGATCGGTAACTAAATTATTTCATTCTTAAAATTTTATCTGGGAGAAACAAATAATTTATTTCCATCTTAATATATTTATCTATTATTGGCTACTCTTACAAACGTTTTGTAGTGATGTGAATTTTATCTTTATTAAAAAAGTGCTTGGGCATTTACCCTAAGATTAACTTCATAATTTCTTCTGTTAGCTACCACTAGAGTTTAATATTTGAGTAATTTAGATCAATAGATATATATTAATATTTTGTGGAAAAAACAATTGCTCGTTTCTCTAAGATAAATTTCAAGAATGAAATAATTTGAATTATTTAAATGACGGAAAATATTTCTTGGGATCTATGGTTTTTGGAAAATTTCTTCTAGTGGTTTTTAATTTTGCGTTTTAATGTAAGGTTCTTTGTTTCACAAATTTTATTTAAAGTTATTTTCTACACCATAAAAGTTCTTCATATTATAACCAAATCATCCATTTAATTGCACCGCTTCTTACATGAACCAATCTTACTAATTAATACAAAAATATTAATTTCGGCAGCGCGGCAGGTAATGGACTAAACCAGGAATGTCAGTTGTGCCACTCTTTGCAAAATAATTAAATAAATAAATAAATAAAAGAAAAATAAATAAATTAATACATTATTAAGTAGTAGGAACGAAATTAAAAACTAAAACTTGCAAATTAATTTTACCATAATTTAGTGGGAAAAATAAATTTTAATCAAGTTTCCTAAACGAAGAACCATATGCAAAGTCACAAATTTTGGTACCGCTAGAAAAAATTGTCCATAAAACAAATGTGCAGTTCTGATTAAACCATGAATTAAAAGCTTAAAAACGAGTCGTCGAAATTTCGTCGTATCATAAACTGTTTCTTCATCAGCTTCTGATCAGGTCATGACAGGGAAGTGGCTTAGCCGCTTACGATGACCTTTCCGGCAATGGGTTCCTATGGAATTTTAATCCTGGTGATGTACCCAAACTCCCCTAAAAATTATCACAACATTCATGCTATCCTCTGTTATATATAATGCTTTAAAACTTGATGAATACAACCCCTCGTTGACCAGAGCTCAAGTAAGGTTTTAATTGATTTTGATTCTTGTGAAGAAATTCACTATTAAAACATACTACAATAAGCATTAAAGTGTATCATTTTATGTAATAAAATAAGTTAAGTGAATTTAATTCATTTAAAAAAATGCTTTATCTCATTTATGCACACTTTTCATAATTAAACCATTTCAAAAGTCAAATGTCATTCCCAGAGGTGGTGAAAAACGAAAACTTTAATATGTTTTTTTTTTAAATTTTGGCAAAAGTCTTTTGACTTTGATTTATGAAAATAGGTTTGCGACCAAAAATGTAGACTAATAAAATTCAAAATTTTATTAAAACTTTTCAGAACATACTTTTTTTAGTTAACCATTGAAAGTAAAGAATGTTTTCGCTTTAAATAGGAATAATGTAAGTCTTAGTGGTTGTTACGAATTAAAGAGATAATAAATAAATAAGAATGAATTCAACCACTTTTTGCATTTTTAATAGCTTGTGGCATCCCACTTTTGCAACCACTGTGAAAAATATTTACTGACTTAGCGTAAATTCCGTTGGATGGTATGTATAAAGAAGATTGTATCTGACAATAGCGCGCACCAAAATGTTACCTTTTATGTGATTGAGTTTGTTGCATTAATCACAGTTATTAATACTTTTGAAGCACACGAAAAAGAAAAGAGTTTTTCAAAGACGTCGAGAACAAAAGTAAAATCAATTGTAACATTTTTTAGTTAACTATTTTCAACTAATAAAAAATCTAATATATTATTAGTATTAATTGACAGACGAGTAAAGTAGACTATCCTCTACCAGAAAAAATAAATAAATACCATATTTTAAATCTTATTATAGTAGTTATTAACAATTTTTGACAGTCGTGCACTTGTTACAATTGTCCCCACTTACGTGGTCAATTGTAACAGTTCTTAAATTCAACTAAAACATATTTAATTATACATATTATCATAGTTGTGATAGATTTTTTTATTCATAAAAATAGTAGTGATATTTTAGGAGTCAAAATAATAATGAGCAGAGACCTAAAGGGTTAAACTTTTAACTTTAAGGGGTTAAAAATTTCAATTTATGCTGTGAAAGGTGACAAATAAAATAATGCACTTGCAACATAATATAAATGATATAGGAAACTATTGGTGGTTCTTAAAGAGTTAAGTAATGGTTTGTAAACATAAGATAATTTATTTTCAGCTGTTACAATCGTCCATTCACTTATTGTTACAATCGTCCCCAAGACGCCATTTCAGATTCATTTGTTAAAAACAATGCTAGTTAATTAACAAAACCAATTTTTGTTTTATTGAAATGTTAATTAAGGTATCCACTTACATATTAGGTAAATAATTTTTATTTGTTTAAACAAAATTACTTTGTTACAATGTAATATTCCAGTACCAAAAAAAGTACTTACGTAGCGTGAAAATATCCTTTGTGATGTAACTCTTTCAAAAGTACATAAAAATGGTTGACCGGCAGGGGTAATTAGATTTAACATGTAGATTTATTAAATACACCTTGTGCGCCACCTAGGAACCAAATCTAGAGCCCGACACTCGAAATTTTTGCTCTGTTACAATCGTACCCTGTTACTATTGACCCCACTCTCCCCTATTATTATATTTTTTAGAGAGGAAATATGATTTTGGTGATTTTCGCAGCAAGCCATCAAATTCACCGAAATTGATTTGGTTAATCAACGCAACTCACAAAATGCTGACATGCATGATTTCTAGGTATTCTTTGTTTCACGTTTGCTTTAATGTTGTACTAGATACAAAAAAGGGGAAAAGAAAAAAATGAAAGAATAAAAAAGAAAAGAACCGAGCACAAAAAAGGAAAAGGAATACCATTTTAAATGTTTTTTTACAGCTCTTCTGCCTAAGCTATTGGGTCTATATTTTCCAGATTGCGGCTCATAATTCTGGGATCATTCGTGGAAAAAAAAGCATGCTTATTTAGAGAAAGAACGTTTATGTGTCCTAACTTCGTCAGCACTTATTAATTAGCGTTTCACCCCTCGAACCATTTCAGATGATGAAAATCCGCGAAAAAGTAATTCAGTAGTTATAAAGAACTCAGTAATACTTACGAATGCATGGTCCTCGTGGGTAGGATCTAGCATAACCTGCTCTACAATGACAAGAACTTATTCCATGTTCTGTTTTACATGTTTCATTCACTTTTACATCACAAGTTGAATCATCTCCAACAATGCAAGTGTCAATTCTAATGGATAAAAAATTAATGGATTTAATCATATCATGGGTTTAATGGAAAAATACGTAAAAAAGGTTATAGTACAGTGTTTAATGCCATTAACAATCAAATATTCTTTCCGAAACATGTCCGCAACTTTTTAGTGACTAGCACCATTTAATTATTGTTAAAACATATATATTTACCTGGGAAAATTTACAGAAAATTTTTATAAATTATAGCTGTTAATAAATATTGTTATGACGAGCGGACTGTGTGGGGGTCAGGGAACTGACCGTGCATCGGAAAGGTTTTGGGTTTGAATCCCGGGCAAGGCATGGATGTTCTTTCATTCTCTGTTCCATCTGTCCTCACTGTGGGAGCAATGGTGGCCCACTTAATACTGTGACCCTGAACGAGTGGCCAACAAATCTGCCCTGTAAATGCTTGAATTGACGAAAAGTTAACACAGGGGGCCAGTATTTACAAATAGTGTACTCCTTCAAAAAAAAGTAGATAACGATTAAAAACGTTTTTAAAATAAGTCTTACCAAATTTTATTTAACGATTTAATGATTTTAGAAAATTAACATTTATCTAAGAAAAAAAAGAAACCTGAATTACCCGTTTTGCACAGAATTTTAGCCACGGATTTGCCCGAAATCGATTTGCACTTAAAAAAAATATATAAATTAACAAAGAAGTTTTAGTAAATTTATTTATAATAAGATACAATTTATTCAATGAATTTATATAGAATTTAATCACTTTAGTCGGGTATCCATTGTTTTTTGAAATCTAATTTTGAAAAAGTTTGTCTATTTGTTTTCCGGATAAATACATTACTACATATTCTTTAAATTATATTCATTTAATTAAAAATGGTATTTAAATAGATGTTTTTAGATACATTAGAATTCCAAGCAATTAGTTTATTTATATTAAAATTAGAATAATTTCTTTTATCGTATAAATCAACAAAGCAGATATTTTCTTCTTTTATAATTAACTCTTTCAAAATTTGATGAAAAGCAATGGATACCCAACTAAAGTTATTAAATACTATCTAAAATCATTGAGTTAATTGTATGTTATTATAAGTAAATTTTCTATTTTCTTAACTTCTATTTTCTAACTTCGTAAACTTTCTATTTACTTCTTGTTTATTTATACATATTTACTATATGCAAATCCATTTTGGGCAAATCCGTGGCTAAAAATCTGTGCAAAATGAGCAATTCATGTTTCTTTCTCTGTCTCTTTTTTCTTACATAAATGTTAATTTTCTAAAATCATTAAAATTGTATAATTAAACGTCAATCCTATTAATTAAAAACTTCTTTAAATTATCCAGTATAACATTATTACCTTGTACACATCCATTTTCTTGCCAATTCGTGGTGACTAACAAATCAAAAGCACTTCAGTACTGCTGTAAGAATGAGCTATAAAACAAAATCCCTCTATTTACGCTTTTAGCTCAATTTGCGCTTCTGTTTTCATACTTTTTATTTTATTTTATGACCGCCGTTGAACAGTCGACCCAATTTTTGGGTTTACGACTACAAATGTTCAACGCCGTAGCCTTGTAATTTTGAACCAATCCAGAAGACAAGGAAACTCCTGGATCGGTACCCCCAGAGGTATTGATTTGTTATGGGAACATGGAGGACTTTGAGACTCGACAGATTTAACGTGCATGTTTTCATACTTTGTAATTTTTTGTAACAAATAAAAGCCTTAATAAAGCAAAATTTGCATATTGCTATCCCGTGACTTTTGTCACATCAGTATATTACGCTGAACACAACACCCAACCAGGGTCAAGTACCTGCCTGATTTTTAGGGCTCTATCTTTAAACGGGCATGGCAGGAATGTCACGTAATTTTGACCCGGATCAGACGACGTGAACAACACCTAAGCTGGTACCTCTCTCTGAATAGTGAACATAAAAACTTTAATTTTGCTTAAAAAAAGAAAAAAAAACAATAGGAAAGAAATAGCTTAGTTACCACTAGTAAACTTTTTGAAAATAAAAGCACGTTCTAAAAATAGGTCCGTTATCCCATGGCTGCCCAACTACTATGCGTTTTGCAAAATTTTTTATATTCTGTATACAATCAAAAACTAAAGTTTTCAGAATTTTGATTAACTTCACCACATTTTTACTTGTGATTTTTTATACGAATTATTCACATGTGGAGTGGAATTTACCAATCAATACAAATAAATATTAAAGCGCACCACTAGAAGAAGTTTTCCCACAAAGTTGGCATTACTGGATAATTTCATTTATGTGTTATTCAAAAAAGTTTCATTGCATTAAATTATACTTTATTTAAGTTAAATGAGGTTAAAAAAAGTTCCTAACCTCAAGGTTTGTTACAGTAAATTTAAATGTAAGCACCAAAACAAATAAATTTAGCCACGATACCCATTTTGCTGCAAAGTTTTGAAGATTTTTCGAAATAAAACGTGGAAAACCGGGCTGTTTAGCAAACAATTTTAGTAATTTATATCAAAAATAAGGGGGCAGTTTTTAAGGAAGGGTGAATGCTAATAAAAAGTTTTATTAACTTTATTCACTACTATTTAAACATTTTAAGAATAAAACTTGCTACTTGTTCTCCGTCGGAATTTTCTAATTCTAAGGAAATATTTTTCCTATTGATTACTTAGGTAATGTATTGATTTTTTTGCAAATAAAAATTAGAAATTTTTTGTCCACCATTACATATAAATATTTTAAACAGACATATAGAAATTAAAACAGATAAAAATCATTTTTTCAAGTTCTGATATAAGTTTTAGAAAAATTCTAGTGTTCTAAAAATTTTTGCTTTAGTTACCTACCAAAAATTTCGTAAAATCTCAAATGTTATGTTACTATTATTATAGCACAGTAGATTGGCATGCTTTGTTTTTCAACGATAAAAACGAAGTAATTTTTTTACCAATTTTTATCTTTTTTAAATTTGTTCTCAAATCTTAATTTACACTGGTTATCATAAATTAAGGAAAAATCACAAAAATAGCGATAACTCTTTCAAAAGTAAGCCAAACCGTGCAAAATTTGCATATGTTGTCCACTAAGAGTAGCTGAGTAAAATTGCAATATGCAAATTAGTGGCGCTGCACTCGGCTTACGTCATCTGCCTGGAGCATAAAAGTCCAAGTTTGAGAGAAAGCACACAAATTTTACTGTGATTGCGACATTGAAAATCTGAGATAGCCAATTCGTAATAATGACCTCTAGGCATCATTTGCCTGAAGAACTACGATGGAGAGCCATCGGGAGACTAGAGGCAGGGCAGAGTCAATCAGAAGTGGCCAGATGGCTAAATGTGAGTCCATCTGTGGTTCATAGACTTTGGAGGCAATTTCAAACCACAGATTCGGCATCTAGGAGGTTCAGTCAAGGACGGCCAACTGTTACGACCAGTGCCGATGACCGATATTTGACATTAAGTGCACGCAGGAATAGAACCGCTACTCCGACACATCTTAGATCCTCTCTTGCTGCAGCCACCGGAAGGTTGGTGTCAACGTCAACTGTGCGCAGAAGGCTCCACGAAGGTGGTCTGTATGCGAGACGACCAGCCATTTGCGTGCCGCTCACATCACGCCATAGGAGAGACCGTTTGCAGTGGGCCCGACAACATGTCCACTGGACGTCAGATCAATGGAGGCCTGTTCTCTTTACGGATGAGTCCAGGTTTAGTCTAGAAAGTGACAGTAGACGTTATTTGATATGGAGAGAACCTGGGACCCGTTATCATCCATCAAACATCCGTGAAAGAGATGCATACGGAAGAGGCAGTGTCTGTGTTTGGGGAGGCATATCCTTAGGAGGGCGCACATACCTCCATGTCTTTCCAAGGGGAACCGTGAATGCTCAGGTTTATCGAGACAACATCCTTGATGCTTATGTGCGCCCATATGCCGGGGCAATTGGTGATTGCTTCCTGTTACAGGACGATAATGCAAGACCACACAGAGCTCGCATTGTTGATGATTATCTTCAACAGGAAACAATTACTCGCATGGAGTGGCCAGCTCGATCCCCGGACTTGAATCCTATCGAGCACGTTTGGGATGCTCTAGGGAGGCGTGTATCTGCCATCAATCCGCCCCCTCAGACCCTTGCCACGCTTGCAACTGCTTTACAAGAGCAATGGCTCTCACTTCCTATTGAACTGATAGACCGCATAATTGAAAGCATCACACATCGCTGTTTGTGCTGTATTGCTTCTAGAGGCAATCATATTCCATATTAAAGGTACTTTTTCTATTGCAAACCGATACTTCCAATTTGTTTATTTTATACATGTGCTAATTTCTATACTACTATTAATGTCTGATAATTTCTTTTTATGTTGTTTAATACCTTACTATGTGTTGTATATTGTGGGTAAGTTTCATAAAATTCCATGTGTAATTTCTTGAGTTATCGCGATTTTTGTGAATTTTCCTTAATTTATGATAACCAGTGTAGTTTACATAATTTTCAGCATTAGGTGCCTTATTTTTTTAAAACTGCTTTAAAGATACTAAGAAATGAAAACATCTATTCGGTCTGACTGCGGAAGATTAAACAGGGATACAGAAAAGGGCCTATTTACTCTTGATTCGGATACTTTTGTTTGATTATGTAAGCACATGCTCTTTTGCGCCATATATGATGGAACCATTAAGTTAAATTCCCTACCACTTTCTCTTCAAAATGAACTTTTTGCATTACCATACCTGCCAACTTCTAATCCTTTCAAGGATGATTTTCGCCAGTGGTAGTCAAATGGTATATAAATTGTAATTATAGGCAGAAAAATAAGCTGTATTTCGAACAAGATTATGCAGTTTTCAACAGCAGTATTACATATTTATATATATGCTTATTTTTTTAAAAATAGTGGTGCATTAAAAATGTTGTAAATTAAGTTTATAAATGCAAGTAATGTATAGAAAGTATACATTTTACTACCACTTTAAAAATAGAAATAAAATTTTACGCCTAAGGCGTAAAAGTTGG